TTTGTTAGGCAGAAAAGCTTGAAAATTTAATACAAGGCTCTTAACATATTGTTACAATAGCAGTTGAAAAATAAAATAAATTCAGTCACAATTTTTTTTATAAGCATTCAAAGTTTGAATTTTGACAAAATACGTAAAAATCACAAAAATTCGCAAATTATTTTAAGCTAGAAATTTATAAAAAATTTTCTTTTTAAATCTAAGACTTGACAATTTTTAATAATCTATAACATATACTAGACAGATAAGCCGTCTTCCTTCAGAATCATTTTTCGTATACAATGATATAATATCATTAAATTCACTTTATTCAAACGATCAAACAAGCAAAAATAAAATCATATTTCTAAACAATAATAATATTATGATCAACATATCAAAATACTCACACAGGTATCCGTTCTTTTAAAATAATTTATTTAAATTTTTTATTTGTTTTCTCTTCTTTATTTTCTTTAGTTACAAAACCAAAAACAAAAAGAACAGTCATATCAATTGTGACATAGGTACTAGTATTACGTTTGTTAATAAATCATAATCTATAGGTAATAGGTGTAATGAATAAACTATTAATACCAACTTCATTGAGTTTATATAACATTATTATGGTGAGGGGAGGGTGAAAATAACAAAATCAAACAACATACAATTGATTCATGACTCATGTGTTTTCAAGTTGAACATTTTCATAAAATGTGTTTCAATTAAAATTTATCAAATTAGTTACTGATTATGAAAATTAAGAATTTCTTATTAAAAATGTATTTTTGACTTAGTATAAGCAAACTTTTATTTAAGGTAATATTACTGCTTATGCATAAAATGCCATAATTAATTTTCAAATATTATTCTTATCAAACATAATTTCAGCGTTAAGTTTAACATTTCTAAACTTTAATAGTGATCATCAAGTGATTTAGATTAAAAATATCATAAGATGGAATTTATTAAAAAAGTACCATTAATTTATTATTATTATTATATAAATAGGTAAAATGGGTTTCAAATTAGTAAAAATAGATTAATACAAATTGAAACAATTATATATTAAAAAACCACTTAAGTCATTAAATATTAATATTTGTTCACCAAGTCTATGAGCGAGCACCAATAAAAATATGTCGTGTTAATACAATATGGAAATCTAGTACAAATACATTATGCAAATAAAAATCATGTATAAAAAAAAATGTGGTTGGACTAACATTGAACAATAGAAAAAAATAAAGAAATAATATAAAATATGATAACACAATAATGGGAAAATAAATTACTTTGTTCGTTAAATAGGAAAAGATGTAAGAACTATAATATGTTTAATGAATATAATTTTTGGACTCTCCAGAATGAAGTAATTATTTTGTTGATAAAATTAGGCATAATACTTTGTAGTGTGTATAAATATTTTATATATTGTATTGTCAAAAAGGAACATGATTTAAACCAGATGAAATAAAAAATTATGGTTAATAATAAATCTATGTACACAGTGGTTCACTAAAGGTGCTCAACTTTCTCTATTATATTTTTAGTGCTTATTTGAAAAACAATAACAAACTGTATCATACTAAAATATTGAAATAAATAAGAAATAAAATGTCTGTCTTTCAATCAATCCATCATTATTTTAAGTGTAAACTTAGTGTTTTTAATAACATGATAATTTTTTTTTTAGATTTCTGAAAAATATACTTTTATTATCATGCAAACTGTAAAGAAAATATATAGATTTTAATTTTAATACTCAATAATTAGATATTTAATATATACATACAACATTAACGGAATAAAGAAACACTATATTACTAAGAATCTAATGCATTTTTTTTAATTTGAATAGTGGCGGAATACTAAATTAATTTCTCAGAATTCAAATTTTTTAATGAAAATTGTGAATTTTGGATATAGAATATATGTTAATAAGCAAACTTACTAAAAAATTAAACAAATGAAAATATGATATTAATAAAGAAATATGGGGTTTAAAAAAAATAATAATAAATTTATGTTGTGCATGTGCAGAACACACAACCTAGAAATGTGTAATAGAAATCGGTAGCCTGGTAATCTATTTAATCAAGTTATTCCTCAAATTAAATACAAAAAATGCTTAAGGTCTTGTTAAAGTGTTCTCTGTTCTTAGTCACAGTAATGTGTACTATACGTTATACATGTACATCTACGATTTTCATTCAACTAAAAATATTAAAAGGAAAATACAGGCACATATAATTTAGTGAACCATATTCATGCGTTTATACACATATACAAACACAAGCATAATACATAAACCTGTATAATATATCTGTCCAAATTGACAGATTTTTTCATAGTACTTAAAATATAATCATTATCTATGTACGTATACTAAATATAATATTGAACAATACAACATCATGATTATAAAAACGATTGGTAGAAAATAAATATTATATTTTAATACACAGCAGGCTAATGATTGCAAAATGTTCGCCAAATATTTCAGGCAAGTAGCACACACACGTATGCATGACCGGCCTTCAAGCCAGGCTCACAATATGGCGCAGCAACGACAATAATGTTGGCGACTATTGCCAGTAGACGGTGGCGGTGTCACAGGCGCAAAGTAGGCGTGCACGTTTATATTTGGCGAGTGTGTCTAAATGAAACAATATAAAAATTAGTATTTATAAGTAATTATATTTATTAAATTAATACATTACTATAGTATATATTTTAATGAATTCAAAATTATTCTATATAAGTTTCATAAATTGTTTATTTTCATAATAAAATTGAAACATTTTCAAAACCTTAGAAATTTTAAATAAATAAGTACATAAAGTATAAAGTTTGGTTTTCACTTACCCGAAGACGTTTTATTCCATTTCTGGTAATGAGTTGACAGTCATACAACATTATTCTTTGCAAGTTGTGACAATTAATTAGGTGTTCTAGAGATGCATCTGTAATAAGGGGACAGTTGTCCAATTCAAGCACAGCCAAATGTTCAGATGCACATGTTGAAGTACTCAGATGTCTGATACCTTCATCAGTAATTAGTTCACAATGTGATAAACTCTGTAATTGAAAATGTAAGTTTTAATGAAAATTAATTGGAGAACAATAAAATCATGAATAATATATTATACCAAATTCTCAAGCCGGGGGCATCCCATTGCTAAATGAAATAGAGTCGAGTCTGTAATAAATACACATTCTTCTAAATCCATTTTTTCCAAAAGATGACACGTCTATTAAAAATGTTTGGTATGTAAAATATTTACAAAATGTATAAAGTATTTATTATTACTTTTGATAATGCTAAAAATCCTATATCAGTAAACTGTGAACAACCAGCTACTTCTAAGGTATTTAACTGATGACATTGTTCAGCCAGGGAAACAAGACAGCTATCAGTTAATAAAGAACAGTTTGCAAGACATAAATATTTCAAAGAATTACAGTTGTTGGCTAACTTTATCACAGCTTCATCTTCAATGTTCTATAAAAAGTTAAATTAAAAGATAATGAGTTAAGCGTAAATCGAACAATTCATTATACTTACATTGCAGCCATGCAAATTTACAACTTCTAATTTTACACAATGTTGTGCTAAACAACTAATTGCTCGTGTTGTCATTSTTGTACAGCCTTTGGATATAAATGATTTCAATTTTGGACAACCATGTGCTAAGGCTTCAACACCTTTAGAATAAAGAAATAAATTAAATAGGAAGAGGACAACAGGGAAAATATTTACCATTTTCTGTAATGCCATCGCACCAAGATATATTAACACTAGTCAAATTTGGGCAACCGTCAGAAATTGCTTTTAAAGATAAATCAGTCACCATAGAACATGAACCAATATCTAATGACAATAGTTTTTTACAATATTGACTTAAAGATTGACTAGTGCTGTAAAGACAAAAGTTGAAATAAAAATCTTTATAGGTATGTTGTATGTACAGCTGTTTTAGTTAGTTTAATTTACCTATCTGTAATTCTCTTACATCCATTCAGATTTATATATTCAATATAATTACAACACTGAGCTAGAGTTTTCAGAGAGCCGTCTCCAACTGATTGACATCCACGCAAACTAATTTGCCGTAAGAAACCACMACATCGCCGTGATATATTTTCTATTACTGGACCCTAAAAATTGTACTTTTATAAACACTTATATGCTATACAATTACGCAAATTAAATTTACTTCAACATCAGTCTGAAATTCAAACAAGTCAATTTTTTGCCAATTGCTTCCATCTAATGCTAATACATTCCAAGCACGAGATACTTGAGCACAACGGCATAATGACACAACATCTAGGTATGAAAATATTCTGAAATAAATTATCATATAATTAGCATTTTATTACATTTTAGTACATCCAAAAATTAATAAATTTAAATTGTACCGTAATAAAAGCTCTTTTGGTAATTTTTTATTTATTTGAGCATCTTCATCTAAACATGTTTTGGACAACTGATAACATGATAAAATAATATACACATAAAATGGATACAATGATAACATTACAATATTATTTGAGTACCTAAATGATTTTAATAATAATATGTAAGTACCTGAACATAACTATGTTTCATATTTGAAACAGATGAATTATTTTGGTGTTGCATACTTGATGGCACATCTCTCGTAAGCGTTTCCATGGCCATTTATTGTCAAAAATCAATCTGCTAATAATAAACATAAAAAAAAAATTTAATATACATGAACTTTAAGAACAAATATTGACCTTATAACTTTAAAATAAATTTCTTTTAGGTACTTTATTTAACTAGGATAATAATAATAATAATAATAACATTAAATCAATAATAATATAAGTACTTATCTAATGTACTCAATGTCTTATCATAATTCAAGAATTCAATTAACATAAAAGCATAAAATGTAATAAAATATTTAAAATTAAATAGTATCATATGCCTAACAAAATTATTTAATAATTGACCTCAACTAGTCGTGAACTTACAGACAATGTCGAGATATAATAATAATATAAATATAATTGTGTAGATTATAAATGTGAACAATGTTAGGAAGTACTTACGTATTTATTTTTTTTTTTTTGAGATCACAAATAAAATAATAATGAACTGTATAATATTATTATACAGTTTTATTATGAACTATTGCTATTGAACAGAATACTGATTACTAACTGACCTTAGTACCCTATATAGAACTGTTGATATTATGCTATAAGGTAAATACTGTTSAAAATTAGATAACATATCGTTGTTTAAAACAATGACAGAGTGATATGATATATGAACATTATTATGTACGTTGCGTAGGTATGTACTATTATTACTTATTCTAAAATCTAGGTACTTGACTGCAGAGAAACACTAAAATACCTAATAGATTATTATATAAACACACTTAAGTTATTGATAAGTGAAAACAACTAAAACTACGTTTTAATGTAGTTCCAATGGTTTGTTTATAATAAGTAGGCATTGGAAAAAAATACAATGTAACGCAATAACAAATTGCACACAAAATGCCAAAGCCACTATATAGTATTATAGTGCCTACATTTTATTCTCTGTTTTCTCTATTAATAATAATCTCGATAATAATAAATAATATTTATTTAGCAGTATTGACATTTACAGGAATAGGTTAAATATATTAATATTGCACCGCACCGTCTATTGACAAAGATTAAAATCCTCGTTTTGATGGACGAGTCTCCAAAAAAAAAAAAAATAAAAAATATATCTACCTATACATTGTTTAATTTCCAAACATACATTATGTCATGAGACTAATGGAGTATTTAATAAACAAATTTGTTTTGTGAACTTCTCTTTCTTTGTTAATATAGGTGTCTAATTTATTCTTAGAAGTATGTGACCAAAATTAAATTCAGTAAAGCATCAAATACTGTCTTTGTGTAATGTGTACGTAATATATTATGATTCATTAAAAGTTTTTAACTAAAAAAAAACCATTAATTATTCATTCAATGAATGAGTCCCCCGAAAAAGTGTTGGCATGATCTTTAAAAGTTCTATATTAAAATTCTTAAATATACTCTAGTACTGTGTCTATACTCAAGTATTTGAGGTTTCAATTTCTTTTACTGGTTGGCATCAAAGTGAATTTAGGTGATGAACAATCACAATTATATGCACATTGGTAAATTGTGGGTGAAAAAAAATATGTTGAAGAACACCTAACAATAAGTAAGTACATTCTTAATTCATACGTGTTAAGTTTACTAARCACAATTTTTGTTATCGAAAAAGATCATTGCACTTGATCCAATCAGATCAAAGAAATTAAAGAATATTGAATAATAAAAATAATGTGCAGTCGGTAAATTTATAATTTGGATGAACCATGATATTGTACAAGTGTTAAGAAAGAAAATTGAACCTAAAAATACATCACAACATATCTAGAGTAGTACTAGAGTATTATCGTTGGCCTTACAAATATTAAATTTTATGACAAATAACAGCCTTGCGCCTTTGTTTATAACGAGAACCGCAGTGACTAGATTGGACACATTTACCGCAGCAATATGTACTATCGACATTCAACCTAACTTCTCGTCTTCATCGCCAACTCCAGTGTCTACATCTCTAATCACTTGTAATTCGGGCAATGGCCACGATTTGGGGGTGGGGGGGGGAACCTGTGTCCCAATTTTCCTTAAAATATAACTTTAAGAATTAACTCAAATAATAGGTCTGTTCGGGTATCACTTTTCCATACCTACCTATTGCGTTTTTATAAATAATAATAATAATTTTTACTACGGTACCTATAACAGGATGATTATTAATTACCGGTCACATTAACTGGCTCCGACGTTCACCCGATCGTGTGCTGCGACACCAGAGCGACGGTCGTGAAGAATTCGTCGCACAGCATACGACTGCGGTCGTCGTCGTAATCCTCTTTAGTTCTAACGTACTCTCCCACGCGGTGATAGAACGCGACAAAAACCATTGTCCGGATCCGTCGTCGTTGTTCCGTCGCAATCGTCGTCGGCGAGGCTATCGCGTCGTACCTCCTCCTTCACTGCCGCCGTGGTCGTAGGTTTTCCCACCGCCTGCTCCGATGTTTGTTTCCCCCTGTCCAGCTGGTCATTCCGAATCGACGTGCATAATTGATGATATTTGATTATTATGATCAATCTATTATTTCGTATGAATAAAGATTTGTGCGCAAACTATTATAAAAGCGATACGCATCGAACAAAGGACGACGATATTTTATTCTAATTACTCACGCGCATAATAGGCACGGCGTTAAAAGTTATTGTAATTATTATAAACTGGTTAATTGCACAAGACCGCAATTATAGTATGATAATAATAATTGTATTAATTCGTATATTATATTATGACGATATACGTTCAAACTGCAATAATTGCATACATTGTTGACACGCTAAGCGACAAGACTCACGACTGTCGACTACTGAGTACTCGACTGAATTGCTACGACTTATGAGTTATGTGAGTACTGAAGCGATATTAAAACTATTAAGCCACAACAACAAAACAATAATAATATTACGTCACTATCGCTCTTCAGAGATACTAGTACGGGCTGATACGACGAACGGTATGGACCGACAACACTCGACGGAGTGCAAAATGCAAATGTGCAATGCAATAGCAATACTCATTACTCGTGTACAACTCGAACTCGACCGACGACTGACGAGCGCGGACTGTGGTAGTGTGGTCTTATCTCGGTAGTGCAATAATCTTATGTATAACGACTATAACGTCGTGATTGTCAACTACATAGTCGACTTACCGTCAACAACTGTCAAGTGTGACACTCATCTATTCGAGTCAGACAATCGGTGCCGGTGCGGTAATCGTCAGACGTCAGTCATCAGTCGGAACTCGGCTTTGCGGTCCTGTGCGGTTGCGTGGGGGGAAATACAAAGTCGATCAGCTGTTGTGGATCGGATCGACCGCAGCTGATGATATCGACGGCAAAGCTGATCAGTGATCGCCAAGATAGATGACTGGTCGCAGTGATGTAGTTGTAGTAATCGCGACAGTCGCGTACAAGAATATTACCTTGGCAGTCTACGATCTACGTTGTTGTTTAATCGAAAAATAATATTATTTATTATCAGAGACGTAGTTTCGGGGATTCCCTCGTATCGACCCCTCCCAGAATAAAAAAAAAATCAAGTGACAGATGACTTGCTACACAGGCACAGAAAAAAACTATATTAATTTTTATTAATTGTAATAATAAATAATAATCAATAATCCAATAATGTGATTATTTATTCATATTAACTCATATTATGATATTTTATAATATTATAAATTACGAGTATAATTAACTTAACAAAATCGATTTTGGCTTTTTGTACACCTCTTAAACAAATTTCCGTAGATACATGAAACGAATAGCTTTAGAAACTTGAAATTTACACCATATGTTTGTTTTGACAATTCATATACTTGATAATATTTTCAAAATATTTCAGCTTTTTTTAAGCTATTTATAGACATGTAGGCAAGGCATACTGTACTGGCAACATTTCCAGACTCCTCTCGACCGTGCTTATTTTAATATATTATTTATTATGTACGTTATGTAACACGGACGTGCGTTATGCCGTTATAATTTATTTAAATGTATTATTTACATCGTTAGTTAAATAAATATTGTTATTCATTCATTTCTTTTATTACTAATTATGCCAAGAGTAGATAAAAAGCCATCCTACAGACATTTGAAATTTTAATTTTTTTTTAGATTTATTCTATATAATAAATGTCGATAAAATGTTATTCGTTTGGTTAAAAAGCTTGAAAATTGAATGCAAGGTTTTCTATACATTATTTATACAATATCACTAGGAAAATATTAAAAACACATAAAATGACTTTTTTATAATAACCCTTTAAATTTTGAAGTTCAAAATTTTATGAAAAATTACAAATTATTTAGTTGTTAAAAATGTATAATACGTTTAACTTTTATACCTAGAGATTGAAAATTTAAAACAAGGTTTCGCGTAAGTAGTTAATTCTGCAATAAAATAAATCTAAAAGCTATACAAACACAGTTTTTTTTTATAATTATTTTAAGTTAAAATTTGGATGAAATATTGAAATAACGTATTAAATAAACAAGAATAACTTCAGTTATATGTTATATTGTTGTAATTTGAAATTATTATTCGTGGGTACTTGAAATTTCTAGAGTTTACTTGATATTCGAATTTCGAATTGTAATAGTAATTAGTAGACAGTAGTAGTAACATCAATGATGATTTATACTTTATACTTTATAGTATATTGTATGTACTATAATTGACTTATTAACTAATAAGTCAATATGTGAGTCGAGTAATGAATCTGAATTCTGATTCGTTTAATTTGTAATTTATTATATGGGATATAGGTACCTACAACCTACCTAATTTTTTTTTTAAATTATAACAATGTAATTAATATATGGTATAAAATATCCTAGATTGACAAACCGGATCCGCTTATAAATATTAAACCTATGGACAATGTGTGGTACCATGATGCTACCATTACTACCTGATTACCCGAACCACGATTTAGTATGAGTTTGAGTGATTTGAAAGTGTTAAACCTATAGGCTACTACTATTATAATTAGGTTTGATAGAATATATCGTGGAGGGCATTAAACGACTTCATCGAGACTTATTGTTTGAATTGAGTTATAATTTCAAATTATTTCAATTTACGTTAATTATATAATGATAACTGATTTTTCAATTTTAAGGTCTGTGGTCCTGTTTTATTATTTTTATAATTTACTTATCATTTAATTATTAATAGCAAACTGTTTATTGTACATATCTGTGGACTAGTATGTGATCAAATTATCAAAATATATAATATTATAAATGGAATTTAAATATCAGTGTAGCTATGAAAAGTGGAATTCAAAATTTAAGCAATGTTGTGGAGGGGAGGGTATAGGGCAAAGGGCAAAGTCCCCCATTGGTTAAATGATAATTAATAAAAACCTCCCCCCCCCGCGATAAGTAATTGTGCATTTGGAACACAGATTTCAAATCGTTGGGTTGAGTTCCTCTGCTTAATTTTTCACAATTCGAGCTCTGTTAATAATATATATGAATTTATAAAGGTAATAGCTAGGTAAATAGGTGCAGTAAATTTAGTCATGTGGATTTTACGTAAAAAAATCTTTTCATAATTTTCCAAATTTACGGTACAATTGGTAAATTTTTATTAAAATTCAGTTTATAGCGTACCTGTTGAATTTGTTCACAATATTATGTAAAGAAAGCCAGATAAGCATTAGTATTTAATCCTTTTATTAAAAATAACAATAAATAAATATTAATTATTCTAAAATATAAAATTAAAATAGTTTTGACCGGTATTACAATAATTCGTGTACAATTATTGTTCTATATATTGTGGTATCACGTAGTATTCACGTATCGGTCATTATCATTTTATATACGAGTAATATCCTGATTTGTATTATAATCCTATAATATCTTGATAAAAAATACAAATAAAGTGGTCACTCAACTCGACTGTCTCACATCACTAATAAAATTATACATTTATAACGGTGACCTACAAAATATCCGAAAATATTTCTGTCGAAGTTATTTTATCCGAAAATAAAATTCACGAAAAATATTTAAGCAGATAATATTTTAGTCGAAAATATTACTACATAGCTATAGGTACCTACCTACGTCCTACATATAGACAAACAGTACGCATTAGTTTTTTGGTCTACACACGTTATAATTACAGGACATCACTCTTTTTAAACATAACCTTGAAGATACGCACCACCGCGAAAGTATATAATAAAATAAAGTAATAAATAATAATATTGTAGGTATATGATGTCTATATATAGTCTGCATAGTCGTATAGACATGCCTATACGCGTACTTACTACACATCATAACAATACATAATATACATACCTACTATTATAATGTTAATATTTACCTATTATAGTCTATTACAGTATTACCTACACAACATTTTATTATTATTATTGTATTCTTATATTCTTATATTATTTTWTTTTTTTTTTATGAAATAAAAGTACATATTATTATCTACGCGGAAAAAAACCTCACTATAGAGCATTATAATTATAGTGTAATTATTTATACTATTTATACACTCATACATATTTACATATATAATATTATATATTATGACTGTATAAGTTAATAACCTGTAGTGGGTAAAGATACTTACATACCAAGCCCGGACTAATATAATTTGGGCCCCGGGGCCAAACAATTTTCAGGGCGCATAATCATAATCAAAATATTGGTGACTCACAAATCAATTATATTTTCAATATTAAATGGATTATATCGAATTCTCGAATCTCGACATACATTGATGGTCAATAGCACAGTGTATTACACATGGACTATATAGGTTTTCAAACTCCATCTCAATAATATATAAGTATAAATAGATCTAACGGAAACGATTTCAATCGAACCTTTTTCAGTTTGGTGGAAACGAAAATCACATTTTTGGGAAGACGGTGACCGCCAGTTTATCTAACATCAAATGATCATACATCATTTTTGCATCAAGAGAATAACCTAAATTAAAGTTCAAGTTGTTATTATTTTTATAGTTGCTTTCATTGTTTGACTAACTTTCCGCTTAAAATTTGGCGTACGTAATATTTAATTTTAAACATTGAGAAGACTATTTATGTTAAAAAATGTAAACGTATATTAATATCGAAATTGCGACAGTATTAAACTACTGAAGTTTAAGGGAGTGGCAGTGTGTCACCTAAGCGGTAAATCGTATAACCATAATAACCATGAATAAGTAACAACCCATAGATTTCTATTTAATATATACTTATATATTGACATATTGTATTATAATAAATTATGCTTTACTGCTATTATTGAAAATTTAATAATTGCGTAAGCCAATTTATTTATAATTTTACATATTTATTTAGGTACTTATGACATGAGTATTATGCGAATCACTGTTGTCATTAAATTAAAAATCCTGGAGAACCAAAAATAAATTATTTACAAAAAATTGCCATCTGATTATTTTATAAGAATTATAATAAGATTTTTATCAAAAATCGTGTAATTATAAGTTTATAACATAAAAACATCCATAATTTTAGTTGAACTTGATTATTCTTATTCTTGGTTTATATTTTTCAAAGGGGGAGAGGGTCCAAATTTTTTTAATATGTAAAAAGTACAAAAAAAAAAAACAACACAGGAATACAGGATGTACCGCTACAATCTGTTATTTAATAATGATCATATACTATGCCAACCATATTACATAATCAGTGGTTTGCACCTTAAGAATGTTAAATTCTGTCAATCAATTCTGATTACAAACCCCCTCACCCTTGGGTATTACCCAATCATCTAACTAGTTTAGTTATAAATGATTGTTATATTTTTATAGTCTAACCTTAAAAGGAAATTAAAAGGAAAAACACAAGGTTGCTTAATTTTTACTGAAACTTGTATACAATATATGTTATATTATTAATTATCGATTTATTTAAAATTATAAATTTTCAAAAGTTAAACTGAAATTTATTATATATTTTGGTTTTTAATAGTTATTTATTTAACATTAATTTGATACAAATAAAATAAATTGTACATCAATTTGATGCACATTGAAATGTGCAAGGGGACCGAAAGGGTTAATATAATATATTATTTAAAACTCTAAAAATTTAAATAAGTACTATTTTCATTCTTATTTTAAGTGTTTAACATTAAACATTTTAATTTAGAAAATAAATTATAAAAATGTTTTCTGTTTTTAAGCTTTAAGTTTATCTACAACAAAGTTAAAGCATTTTTAATTAAATATAATATAAACAGAACAAATATTAAAATATTAAATAATAAAATATAATATAGTAAAGCCATTTATTTTTAAATTTAATCTTTAATAATGAAATTTTATTAAAAACAGATTTAAACATGTTTTAAAAAACAGTTGTTAGGACTGGAAGAAATAATTGGAGTGGGGTATGCTTTATAAATCACCATATATAATATTTATCCTAATATTGCTTACATAATGCCTTACAAATAAATGCGTTTTGAATCATTTTTTTTTTTTTTTTATTTTATCAAATAAATGGACCTTTAGAATGGCCATGCATTTTTTTGATTTGGCTTTTTGGTTTATTATTATATTATGTACACAATATAAGAATTAAGAATTCACAATATCATCAGAACTATACAATCAGCTGGTCCAATGATTTGAACTCAATTGATGCATCTATAAAACTATACAAATTGAAACTATCTATTACTATAGCTATTATTGGTAATCTTGTTTCTATTTGATAGTTGTGTGTATTATTATTTGTATCTCTAATCTCTACTGCTGCCTATGTTAATTAATCAGTATAATTTAGTAGTAACTCAAGTGTAGCTGTCTTTTTCATACCGGGTTATATTGAATGATAAAACAAAAGTAGTATTACCAATTAATATTTATAATAATATCATAACATTAATAACAAACTAGAATAGTTTTTACTCTTTGCTCAGAAATGGTTAACAAAAAGAGTCGTTTACTTGTTAGATACATATTTATTATATAGAAAAATATATATATACAAAATAACTTTATGTTGTATATCACTTGCATACATAAAAGCTATTTGGTACAATAGGGAGGTATAATATCCATGAAAAAAAATCTATGGTAACAATGGAACTCATTTAAATGAAAAAAATTACATAGTTAAAATATATAATAACTTATATTATAATATTAAATAACATTAAATTTAAAAAAATATGATTTTTTGTGAAATACATGCTAATAATTAATATACTTATTACTACTTAAATAAGAAAAACAATTTTAAACTTATATTCAAACTTAATTATAAAAATAAAAATTATTTCTCTTGTATATTTATTTTGACAGGAACAAATTTTTTTGATAATCTGGTGTCATTAGTAAACATTATGTATTCCATCCAAATGTCACGTGACTAATAAGTAAGTACACAGTAGCAATAAATACGCTACCTAACATCACTGGGTAGCCAACTCTAATAATGAAAGAGAATTCAAACAGAATTAGAATAATTTTGAGAGGATATAAATATGCTTTATAATGTTAATAATATGGATTCATACCATACCTGCATGTGTTGCTTGTGTCTTACAAACGTACAACATAGCAAAAACTGTTTTATGCGTGGCAACTTTACTTCCTCAGTATTTATAGTAGAATTATCAAAATTCATCTATGCATAGAGAAGAACTTTATCTGTCAAAGTTATATATTTTTTTTTATAACAATTCAATTTAGGTTATCAGTTAGAGAAAATAATTTGTTTTTCAAGTAATTATTAAAAATTGTTATTAGTGCTCCCAAATAAATGTCGGCAATACGACACAGATAAAGTTCTTCCCTATACATTGTGAAATSTTGTTAATACTATTATTAATACAGAGGAAATTAAGTTGTCCCTTTCAAAACAGTTTTTGCTGAATTGTAGGTTTATAAGACTGAGACAACACACATAGGTGTGATATCCTCTTAAGTGGATTCAAACCGTATTATTTAAAATGTTCAGCATGGGGCATTTTTTTTAAATGCATGTGCACATGTTATGTTAATGTGTCCATAGTTAGTAGCAAATAATAATTTGTGTGTAACTATAGTTTTAAAGATACCAAAAGCATTTAATTTTTGTCCATTGTACCAAAAAACTAGTAATGCAAATAAGAAATTTGATAACATTTTTAAATTGGTTATAAAGTTAACGTACAATTACTGTTATAATTAAATTCTTTGATTTTTTACATTTTAAAATTTGGAATAATCAAGCTTCAGTTATTAAGTAAATTTCATAACATATTCAAATATTTTTCGTGATTTCTTACCGTATTACTTGTTTCATCTGTGTACATTATTATAATGGACAAAAGATAGGAATGTTCTCGTAAAAGAAAATGATTGACAATGTCTTTAAGAGGAAGCGAATACATTGATACCATATGATTTATATCAGCCTTACAAAAATTTAGTTCAGCAGAACAAATTTTAAATTGTTAGCTTCAATATTAGAGTGAATTGACCTATTATCAAACCCTAAGGTAAGTACTCAAGTACATTATTTGGATTTTTATTTAACAATATTTTATTTTTTAAGTAAGATGATAAATTTTAAAATGCAATATTTAAGTTACCTGCTAATAAAGTAATAACTTGCTTAAATATTTAAATATTGTAAAATTTAATGAACAAATAATAAATATAGATAATGTTCTGACTATTCACTATATTATTTAAGTTAACAATACAAAATTGGTTCTACTGTACATGTATAATATCAATACTGTCTACTTGTCTACTAAATCAATGACTAAACATGGGGATGGGGGTATGGCGTCCTATAAAACTTTGTTTTCAGACAAAAATAAAATAAAAAGGTTAGGTTAAATGTAAAACCACTTGTTAAGACCCTCTGTTTTTCTCTACCTAATCAGATAAAACATACTTTTGTTTAGCAGATTGCAATAAATTTTAGTTGTTTTGTGAAAATATAAATATAAAAATTTTACTCGTTTATGTGCTTATTGCTTTATTTTATCATTACCTATTATAACAGTTTTACTGTATTTAATCGTATTAATAGATTTAGTTAATGCAGTTTGTTCTAATTWAAAAAAAAAATTAAATTCAATAGCATAAAATATTAATGTAATTGTATTTAATTTATTAGTTTATTGCTCACTAAATTATATTTAATAATAAAAAAAATTTAACTCAATATTTCAATCACTTCAATTTTTTTCATCCCCACATAAGACACTTTCCAGCTTAAGATGCTCTAGATAGCTGGTCCCTTAAAGAGCATTTTGCCATCTTAAGTGAGCTTTACTGTATTGTCCTAAATTATATATTAAAATCTTATCCTACTCACTAAAAATAATAAATAATACTCTAAACAGTTTAAAAAAAATATATTAAAATAGGTAGTTACTTAAAGAATTGCACAAAGGACATTCGGTATCCATGTTGTTCAGCTACTCCAGCACATACCATATTACATGAAGCAGCTATCAGTGTTCCATTTCCTAAAAATTAAAATATATATAATTAATTAATTATTATTATATTGTGTGAAAGAAATATGTATTAAATCCTTACCACCAAGACAACCTCCAAATGCTAGTGCATATACCAAAGGCGGTAATGGTAATTCTAGCTCAGGGTTTTGAGACAATGATGTTATCACTTTTATCATCATAGTAGTCAATGGAATATTGTCAACAAATGAGGACACAATGGTAGAAACCCATAGAATTAAAATTATAGCAACGGACAATCGATATTCTTTGTCTACAGACATAATTATCATTTCTGTCTGTTTACCTACCCATTCAATTAAACCAAGCTCAGATAATGCCTAAAAATTAATACAAATATTTATAATTTGTTTTTATCATTTTTTTCTGTTACAAGATATTACTCCAATTAAAATAAACAATGCAGCAAAGAATGACAATGTGGCCCATTCAATTCGGCCCAGTACACATTCAATATCAACGTGATCAGCAAGTATAAGCAACAGTAATGTTCCAAGTAAAGCAATCCATCCAAGACTAAGATTTAGTTGAGGAATTGAATGCAGGCAGAATAGAGTAATAACAAATCCTAATGTAATAGCACATTTCCATAGAAGACTTTTATCTAAATGACTATCCTGAAAAAAAGTAATAATATTACATATTAATTTTAATTAAATAATAGTACCTAATGTAATCACATTACTTTATTCAAAAAATCCTTGATAGATTCATCATAGGATTGAAGTCTGAAAAAGAATATAATATGTATTTGTTTATCTCATAAAAAAAACAAATTTATGTATTATACAGGATGATTTAACAAGCATGCTCATATCCTGTTTTCTTCAACCATGCAATTATTCAAGATCTAATTTTTGAAATTTTTATATATACTTAAACACCATGCTCAAATTTGTTGTATTACTTAAGAAGTGCCCTGTGGATAATTTATGTTTTTAAAATTAGAACTTTGCTTTTCAACTTTAAATTATTTAGTTGATAATTTTTCTGAAAAATGTATACGAGTAGTTTTTGAATTATTTAACTTTGTGTTCATGGTAATGGATTTTTAAGATATGGGGGCTATGGTGATTTGAAAATTGTATTCAATAATATTTATCAATCAACATTAATTATTTGTAAAAATAGCTTAAGCATAATAAATATTAGTTCTGATATTACAGATCTTTTCTAAAAAAATTATAATATAGGGAGCATACTGTGTGAAACAGTCTATATACCAATATACCTGATTGAATTGTTTGAAAAGGATTTTGATACTTAAGAAAATTTCTTTGTACAAAAATTACAAATGACTTATTACTTAAGTCCAAAACTAAAAACTTAAGCCAAAATTGTTTTAAATCATTCAATTCTAGCACCTAATACAGTAATACCTATACACAGGAGACAAGAGATTACTATTTAGATTTGGTGATAAACTAATGAAATAATTTATATACCATCCTACTAAACTAATACAAGTATTAACAATCAATTCTAATGATTATTATACAGGGATGGCCWAATTGCAGCTTGCGTTATAGTTGTATGCAGCTAGTATCTTATTTACTAAAACCAAAATTTTAATCTTTTTTTGTATACATTTATAGAAAAATGTTTTTTTTTTTATATATAGATATAAGTCTATAGAATACAGTTTAATAAACAAAGATGTACAATTCTAGTGATCAGTTTTTTAGTATTTAACATTTTTATAATAAAAGGACATGATACCCGCATATGTTGTCTTTGTCTTACAAGTGTGTAACATACCAAATTTTATGCTCAGCAGATCACTTTAAGCTATGTTAATTTAAAAATTAGAGTAAATTTACCTTTTAAAAAATTTAAAGGTAATTATTTAAACGACAACATGGGCTTTTTACTATATTTTAATTTTGAAGCAAGTTATAAAATATTTTGAAATTGTAAATTTTTGGTATATCTTAAAATACTTATTACTCGTTGTAATAATCTTATACAACTATAAGAACTTTATATAGATGTGCTATAAGAAGAAATAACCTTAATTTATACCTTTCTGTAGGTGCAACATCAACCTTGAAGCCTTTGAGAGTTTCTTTAAGCTTTGAAAATATGGTTTTACATTTTCTTAGAAGTTTATCCCTAACAACTCCTTCTTCTTTTGAGTATGAAGACAAGGAAAATGCAGCTTTTTGCCAAATCGCCAATTCTTGTCTTAATTCTATAAATATAAATAGCAGCAATTTAAATTTATTTTTGAAATTGAATTTATAAATAATAATCAATTGTTTAAATGAATTCAGAAAACTTAAAAAATATATAAAAATCAATTAAACAATACATTTTTTTTTATAGGGTAATTTTATGATCCAAAATTATAATGTTTGATCTGATAATCTTGGCTACACTAATAGTAATTACTAATTATTGCAATTATTATTGAGTTATTCACAATAGCAGATATGTAGGAACATAAGAAATTTACCCAATGGCGTAAACTGGGGGTCACACGCATTTGCGACCTCTGAAAATATTATAGAGTTACAAGAGTGTCTTATTGCGACCCTAAAAATCACGATTTCAGTTTTCAAAAAAATTAAAATTTCAATAATTATTTAATTAATTAACTAATTTATATTTTGAGAAAAAATTGTTTATTTTGTTTTGAATCACTGGAAATATTATTATATTATATTTATATACTTTCCACATTTTCTTATTGTTTTGTTTTCGACCATTTTCTATTAATATACCTACCAATATGTATTTATGGTGATCGGCAGAGTCGAGTCTCAATGGTAGCTGAATATTAATAGTGAAAAGTGTTTCACTATTATATGTTTATAGATTAAAATTATTATTATTTGGTTTTTTACATCTTTATTTATTTTTTGACACTTGTATTTATTTCTTATTCCGCGAACGATTAAAAATTAAAAGTGTTTCAACAGTTAGCTAAAATAGACAAATTTCTTGTAAAAATATCAAAGTCAAAAGTAAGCATCTATTTTTGCTTTAAATTCATATATAACTTTTGATTTGTATGCATTAAGTTTAAAGAAGCAGTTAAAATATATTACTGATTTATATTATATTAATACCACAATTTTGACAAATAAAAAAATTTATATTTGATCTGTAAATTAATTTATCAGGTAATATAATATTATTATTGAACAAGTTTGATACAATTATTTATTAAAGTCTAGATTAAAAGAACTGTTGTATTTTATGTAGGTACCTGTTCATATATTGTTTAAGAAAATTATACATATTCTATTGACGGTAATTAATTATATACCCTATTTATATTGTATATTCATAATACATACCTGTCACCAATAGATACTATATGTGTTTAAGGTTAAAATAAATTTGTTGAGATTGTGTACTTTTTTTTACTTATAATATTATATTTAGAAAAATATAAAACTTTTTAGGGGGTTATGAGGGGCTTAGCTCCCCCAAAAGTCTGTCAACCCGGGAAACTGATTGCAACCCTAACAATTTAGCCCAATTTACGCCACTGATTTATTTACCTATACAAGTATATTTGTAAAGAAATTCTTTTCCTATAATGGAATTATCAATTAAATTAGAAAACAAATTGACAGATAAGTGCAATGTTTAAAAAAAAAGCAGGATTGGATTTTATTATATTATAGAAATATAATCTATTTAATAAAATTATTTAATATAGGTACCTGTAACATTAGAAGGTTCAGTAAATTTTAAATCTTGCATATTACGGAAAATAAATCTTAAATGCAGATTTACTGCTATAAATATGAATACCAAACCAGCACCCATATGTAACGAAAACGTTGTAAAATCGATTCCCTATAATAAAACATGTTATATTATTATAATTCAATGACCATGATAGAAATAACTAGGTATAACACAAAACAATGTGAGAACATACTACATGTATAACAATTTGTATAGCATAATAAAAATGTCTATAGAAATTTTCCATAGAACTTGATTTAATTCACAGATTTCCATACCTAATAAACTAAATTAGAAACTCTGAGGTTGATTCTTACAATGTCTGGTTAAGTGTCCGTTATCTTTAACCGGACATTGTAAGAAAGGTTTTGAATAAAATCAACACAAAATAATTGAGACTTGTCTGCCATATTTTGGGTTGGAAATAGTTCTATGCATACAAAAATATTGATAACAATAATTAAGGCAGCATAATGGATAACGAAAGACCAAAAATATGCAAATGATTGACCTGAAGTATACATTTACAAGTCTGTGATGAGATTATAAATGGTTATTTTTATTATGCTATTATCATCTTAAATCAATAGGTATTTATAATTTAAAGTAATGTAAATAGTAAACTTACACTTGCAATAACATCTTTATTCGTTCCAATTATTACATTTGGTGGATCACCAATTAATGTTAAAGCCCCTCCTAAGTTTGCATAAAATATTATACACATAAGTGTGGGTACTGGATTCATTTGCATTACTTCACATAACCTAAGACAATATTTTTATTTAACTGTTGACATCCATGGATTGTAATGAGCAAACCAAAAAAATATGGCGTGAAATGTACAAGACATAATTAGGTACATCAAGATACATTTTTAAAATTATTACCTTATGGTTATAGGTGTCATTAAGAGAACAGTAGTAACATTATCCAATATAGAAGATACAATAGCAGTAAAGAAGCACAATGTATTGATTAATGGCCAAATTTTACCTTTGGTTTCCTATAATAAAATCAATAATTTGCTTGGTAAATTAATACTACATGATGATATATTTAAATGTCTACTTGATATTTGGAAAATTGTTCATATAAATAATTCGATATCATTACAAAATGACACTTTCTATAGTTATTATTTTTATCATCTTTAAGGTTCTTTAATTTTTTGATTTTTTTTTTAATAAGACAATATACATTTGTAATTTCATATTCTAAAATAGAATAAATTTCAGTCTTTTATACATAAGCATTTAATAAGTAGTTGAGTACTTAAGAGTATTTTAAGTTTAGATGACTGGTGTAGAGTGACATAGTAGTACTTAAAATATGTTGGTCTATTAATTCTACTGCTTATCTAAACTTTAAATACTTATTATTAATTACCTACATATTTGTAATTTAAATTTATGTGCATCAAAATGTTTTGAAAAATTATATTTTTTGAATATGAAATTAAAAATTCTTGTTGTCGTTTATAAAAGTTCAACCTAAATAAAGCCAATAACAATAAAAATTATAAAAATATGCTCTTTAAAAAAAAAAAAAACTCTTAGCCTGCTACTCTATAATTTGATTAAACAAGGAAAACCTATGAATCATAAATATGTTTTACATTAAATTACGTAAGACACTTAAATTGACCACCGTGTATGCATATAAAAATAAATTCTTTAGTATTTGTATTAATACTTTGTATGCTACGATTGCCAAGTAGTCAAAAATTCCTGTTTCGGATAAAATACCAACAATAACCATCATACAGAAAAGAAGAAGCAATGTTTCTATATCCACCCAAGAGGACAGTTCATCTTTTGTAGGTCTCTATATAACATAATTAATAAATATCAGAATTTATTATGATATTTTTAAATAAATTACTCAAATTTGTTTACCTCATTTAATAGTGCTAGTATTGAAATTGACGTAGTAGCTGCTAATATTGCTGCAATCGATTTGTGCACAACCTGCGATTAATGAAAATTCATAATATTAAATAAGAATGTATGAAACAAAGATTTTACGAGAGAAATAGAAAAGATTTGTATCAGTACGATGTTTAGAATTAATAGGAAAATACAATAGGCTTGTTAGAAAAAAAAAAAATATTTTAATAGGTTTTTACCTCGGTTATAATTAGTACATAAAGTCCAATCAATACAAGAGCAGCATAAATAATACCATATTCTGTGTTGATTGGAAACAGATCATAAGTGAATGCAATAGGAAAGTTAGTGCTCAATGTAGTATTCATACAAAGTTTAGTATCACCATGGAGAGTAACACTAAAAAAAAAACAATGTATTGACAATCAAAACTAACAAATAAAAGTACTAAAATTATCTTACTTGGATAATAATTTAAAAATTTTGTTATGATGCATTTCAGGAACAACTTCAACGAGTGATTCACTTACAATTGGTATGGACCATATTTGAGTTATATTCTTTTTTAAAAAAAAAAGTAAGAAGAAGAAGAAATAATAGGTTGTTCATTTAATTTTACAGATTAACTTATACCATGTTTTTGTATCAAGTTTAAATACAATTTTTAATTTGTAGCAATGTTAAATATCAACTAATTTTATTATTATTATTATTATAAAACATACCCTTTGATGCATATCTTCATGCTTCAATCCTAATTTTGAGGGCATACTATATTCTTCAGTTGGATCAAACTCTATCCAAATGTTAAAAAAATGTGTTGCCAAAGTACTATAATAATCAGGCATAAATGCTCCAGCCAAAATTAATTGTATTTTATTTGTATTAGGCATGCGATTTTTATATATTATCTGAGCTAAAATACAAAATCTTTAATAATAATTTTTCTCACATACTTAAGTATAAATATATTTTATGAAACTCATAAAATTACACATGTTCATTACTTTTAGTTTCATTTGGAGCTAACGTTACTTGATGGACATCATCTGCTTTTCTTTCTTGTTTTGCCATAAGAACTAACTACAACCCAAAAATGAGCAATTAAATATAACTTCACTTAGTATGAATAAAGAGCTCAAAGGCTATTAAATTATAGGCTTTTGAACTGGGGTACAAATTTAAATTAGGCCACATTTTAACTTTTCTAATTACAGACCATCTATAAATTGAAACAACATTATTATATTCATGTTATTATTTATGTTTAGCCAAAGAAATAAACTAAATAAAAACATGATAAACAATAAACAAATAGATTCTAGCGGATTCTTCTACAAATTATGAACCACAGGCTATAGTTAGATTAGTACAGTTAATATAGATTTAACTTCAGCCAGGCAATTATAAAATAAGTTTAATAACTTACAGTACAAAAAAGCCAAATACATATGAGAACAATGGAAATTGTATATTTACGGCCAGACGTCTTTTTCACATGCAAGAACTTATGTGTTGATGTCCTATTAGAAATAATAATAAGTTAGTAATTATAAAATCAAACATAACATGAGTTAAACTACATACTTTTCACTGGATGATTTAGATGTTGTTGACTTAAGAGATGATGGTTCTAATTCGTCTGCGGCCATAACTACTGTAGACGATGGATCGGCAGAAGAATCATCAGTAAACCTTGAAAATATTGATACTACCTTAGTTACTTATTGTAGCTACAGATCTGATTGAGCCTTAGAATTCACTTATTTCATTTAGATTTCTTTAGTCACTTATGAAATCAAATTTTAAAACAAAAACTCATCTATGTTTAATTAGTTTAAATAAGTCAATTTATACCTTTGATACATATTTTGATGAGAATCTGATATTATTTTCAAATCTGAACGGATGATGAACTCCTGTTTTTCAACAATAGTCAAAACGCAAAAATATACAAATAATTATTAGGTACTTATATTATTAACTTTTTTCCCGAAATAACAAACAATATATTGTTATTATTATTAAGTTTATGTTATAATCATGTGTGAGAAAAACGATTAAAAAAAGTAGGCATTGGTATATGCGATTGTTTTAGATATAATTTCGTGCAAACAATGTACTTTGTACAAACTGAAAGTGAGACGATAAAATATTTATGAATAAGCATGTAGATACTCAGTTGGATTGTTGGACTGGCCTGCAGTGCCGTGTTAGATTACTAAATTGTGAAAACAAAATACGATTCAAACCTGCACGAGTACCTATACCATTTGACAAGTGTTAGATTTTATTATATTATAGGTTTTACAGATAGGTAGGAAATAATTAATGCGATACGAATTCCGATATGATCATCAAAAGACAGATTATATCGATAAAAATTACCCGTACCATAGTCCACACTTCCACAGTTTACCTATATACACTCCACGTTTCACAAGCAACTGGCAAATAATTACACTCGGCATTTGCAATTCGTTAATCAGGTATTCGAAAATAATACGTAACACACCTATGATTTTTTTTTTTGTAATTGGCAGACAATTTGGTCACCAAAAATATTGTCAATCAAATAATAATATTACACAACATATTATATATTATACTCAGTACTACTTACATTAAATTTACCGCAAAATTATTACAATAACGTCAATAACCATTGAACTTTATAGGTATAATATGCTATATCTATAGCGCCATTCATGACACGTGTATAATAAATAATAATACGCACCTATACCTGCGTCATTCAGACAGTCAGACATAATATTTAAAATACGATGTAGTCGAGCTTCCAATTTACACCTACCCTATATAAGTTTGTGATTAATAATTGCATAATATTGCCGACAGCGTATGCGTATATTAATTATTATTTACGATAGAGCGGGTGAGGTACATAATAATAACAAAGTCAAACGACGACGGTATTTCACATTCCCGTACATAACTTATATATAATATTACGACTATTACGGATAAAATATACGTAAGCATTTCTGTTAGCAGTCATTGTTTGAACAGGTGGCCAGCCGGTGGGGCCCACGATAAACAAACTGCCAGTCAGATTTCGAAGCGAATCGAATGAACATTTTAAAATTGTAAACACCTATTCAATATTTTGAGTATAGACAGCGTAGTCCTACCATCGCTGTCGATATTTACATAGAAGCAGTACAAGCTCAAATGTCCACATCACACACCACTATAGAAGCATAAGTAGTCATCAATACTTAATACATAATATTTTATACCTACCAAAATTTAAATTTTTTTTTTAAATTTTGTGTTGTTAGCTTATATATAATTATAGTAAATTGACTTACTTTCAAACTTAAAGCATCAAATGTAAGAACATTATCTATTTTCTCCCTTTGGTTTTTTCGATATTTTAATTTTTAAGAGTGGAAAATATAAAAATTAAAAAATGTTCACTCGCTTAAAAATTTAAATATTTAAAAAAAAACATAACATAATAAAAAATAATTTTCTTACCTTCTAAGTTTGATCATAAATCAATTCAGTATTCACCTTAACATTGAATCTGACAACACAAAATTGGAACTGCTGAACTCAAATTTTCTTTGCAACACTGCTGTTCCTCAAAAAATTATACATAGTGAAAAATTCATAAGAAAATTTACTCTAACAGAAAATTATAATATACTCTAATGTGATGACACTTCAATATTTCAGAAGTTTAGAAACAGTTTTTATAAAAGAATTAAGAATCTTTTTTGGTCCAAATTTTTGATGCCTAAGAGTGAAAAAAAAATTTTAAGTGTGACTGGTCTTATTAGCCACACCACAGTGCATGTCTACGATGGATACATTTTTTTTTTTTAAATTATAGCACTTATAATATTTATTATATTTGAATTTGATGTAAATTGTCCATCTTAATTTTGTTTATCCACAGCCCCCAGACAACATTAAGTATTACAGCTTTATTATATAAATTTATTATTTTGATTTTAGATCAATAATTTTGAATAATGATTAATAATATTAGTACCTAAAATTTGTTTGAAATAGAAATTTTTATATTAACCAAGTCATATAACTATAGTTTTTGATTTTCTAGCATTGAATCTATGATCTAAAATGGCCGAGTAGGAATTCAGTTGATCTTTTTAACCTGTTAAAACTGTACTCAATGGCTGGATTTTAAAATTAAACAACTAGAGTTTTGTCATTACTTGTGTAACATAATTATTTGAGCTTGGTGTTGTAGGTTAAATTACATGTGTTAATCATAAATATCCAAAAAAAAAAAATGTTTGACATATATTTCATTTATCAATATCTATAATATATTTATTTTATTATTAATTACATTATTATATATTGATTTTTTGTATATAGTTGCATTACAATTTAATTTAAATATAATATGCTATTTTGTTTAAAATATATTCTATTTGACAATAAATGTGAAAAGTGTTGACTTTTAAACTTGTTCTTTAACAATTAATTTCTTAAGACCCAGATCTAATTTATCATTTAATTGTTTTATTTAATATTAATCTAAATTCTGAGGTAGTGAAGGATGTATTCGTTTTATAGCTTGAATATTATTTTTTTATTAGAATTTTAGTTAACAACTTGTAAAAAACTTATTAAAAATTGCATTAAACTGAGAACATAAGACATAGGTAGTAAATATATGAAAAAATTTGATTACTTACTTTTAACAATCATTCAAGCAAATGGTTAAAATCACCAAAATCAGTAACAAGTCATCGCATTTAAAAACTAACCCCAAGCAAAGTTTATTTGTCTAAAATATCGTGACATTTTTCCTTTTGGTAGGTGTTTCGTTGTTAACATTGACAACATTTCATAGTGTATATTAAAGAAAAACAAAAATTATTAAAATCTTGTTCATTTATTTGCAGAAACATGTTAAAATAAAAAAAAAATTAAATTAAAAAATTAAAAATATTAAAAATAATAATTTTGAAAATAAGTACTGCCTTGCTTTTACCTATTATAGTATTTAATTATAACGCTACCTGCGATGTATGATAGATAATAACAGTATTAATAAAAAAAATTGAACAATTTAAAGACAATGTTATTATGATATGGTCAATAATAAGTGTCACCATCATATTCATAACCATAACCATCATCATCGTAATCGTCATCGTCATCATAATCATCATCGTCATCGTAATCGTCATCGTCATCGTCATCATCATCGTCATCATCATCGTCATCGTCATCATCATCGTCATCGTCATCATCATCGTCATCGTCATCATCATCGTCATCGTAATCATCATCGTCATCATAATCATCATCGTCTTCATCACCGGACTTATAGGAGTAGTACACCAAATACAGGGGATAGAAGTCAAAATCATTGTATTTGACATAGACGAAGCCATTACGGCTCACTGTTGTGTCGGCTAAGCCGGGTGGAATAATCAAGCTGTATCCCTCGTTCCATTTGGGGTCGACCTCGTACATTTCTGTTACGAGCACGGAGCATATCATGATAACTCGTTCATCTGCAGCCGGTCATAATAACAGAAAAATATAACACTCTCATTATTGTAGGTAGGTGCCTCAGTTGAGATCACGTCTGGATGGCCAGATCAAAATTTTTTATTGGAGGAAGGGCATATTTTATATATTATTTACATAATATTATAATATTTAAATAATAAGAAAACCATAAGAAAAATCAAAAATGTCATACAAATACATAATATTAGTTGACATTATAAAGAAATAAAAAATCAACCAACCAACTGAAAAAATCTGTGCATTGAGAGAGATACTACAAGAATTATAAGTGGTAAGAAATAAATTAAAATAAATTAAAGTATATTTTTAGTTTTCTTCTGATTATTTGATATTTTTTTACTTTAAACCCTCAAAGTAGGTAACAGATCCAATTTGATACCAGAAACCACCATAAAAAATAAGGTATTTTTACTGCTTTTAGAGGTCACATAAGCAACACACTGCTCTAAAACAAAAACTCACAACTAATATATAAATTCATCGCTTCACTCTAAAGCTAAAAGGTGTCGACAGCAATAAAAAAAAGTTGCCAGGGGGTGGAAATCAAAATAATAAAATATCATATAAATAATATTACATTATACTATTATTTAAACAAATAAAATAATAAATCTATCTCCATTCAGCAGTCACCATAATCAGACCAAAATACCAAATCCTGTGCACATCGGAACTATTTGACAACAAATAATTTAGATGGGGCTCTGAAGCAATTTATGTGAAGTACAGTGGACTGGGTAGAGTCTACCCGGTAGACACAAATAAATTGTAATACCTTCGTCGGTAGAATTGTCAGCATATTTGTCGGCGTACTCAGCGTCGTCACTAAATGACACGCCGCATCCGTATCTGGAGCGCTGGGTACGACGCCAGTCGAGTCCGCTCTTCAATGACTCCAGGGCCCTGGATTTGGAGGTCACATGGTACAGCAACATTTCGTCAACATCGTTCGCTCCACTATTGATAGCTAACTGCATTTCCTCTTTGCGTAACAAGTACATGCCATACATTTGCGGGATGTTGACCATCTCTATCCAATCGACAAAGCACTGAAATGTTACGCGATGTTACGATCCGAGATACTTTATTACAAAGATAAGGGTTAGTTCCTGATTTTACGCTTTTCAGCGTTAAAAGTCTTAAAATGTAAATAATCGACGAATTCAAAAATATTGATTAAAATATAAGAAAATTATTTTCAAGTAAACTCCAAATTTAGTTGATTCTTATAGGACTACGACTACTCCCATAGTGTATTTTTGTTGGCGAAATGACAATGGTACCGAGTGTTTAATATAACAACATTTTATATGMACTTAAAAATATGTAGATACTTATATTATAATATTTTGAGTATATATTACAGAATTAATAAAATTCTACATTGCACAGGGAAGAACTTTGCTGTGTTGTAACGTATTTATTTATTTTTAATAAGAATAACCAATAATTTTAAATAGTTAATTTAAAAAAAATTTAATTTTCTTTAACTGATATAAATTGTATTTATACTATCTAAATACGACACAGACAACAGTTGCGGATGTGGTGTCCTCTTAATAATTAAGACAGTTATATAGTAGAAGTTAAAAGAGTACTAGGTCAGAGGTCTAGGTAGAATAATAAAACCAGAATATCTAAAGTACTGAAGAACGATAATATTTTGAATAGGTAATACTGAATTTAACGCGATTACCCTCCTCCTACCTAGGATTCACGGGCTTGGTGTCACTGTAGTTATATCCTTCGACCATATAAACTAGTTTATATGGTCGAAGGTTATATATTATAAGCAACGAATAAAAATAAAATAGTATTTAGTCGAATAACATTGGCTGCGAAAGTGTTATAGTTTATTGTTTATGAGTTTATGACTTGTAGATCTTGAATACGATTACGTGAAATAAGACGACACCGAGGAGGCCGATAATATCACCAAATAAAAATACAATTCGCGGACAATAATAATTATTTATTTATTTGCTCCTAATTCGAGACCAGCGGACGATTTAAAACAGTAGATCGGGACACAGCGGATTTGTTCGTGCAAGCGGACTGTTGTGATTATGTGTAGTGCTGTGTGTATAAAGAAATATTACAACACAATATATTATTATTTATTATTTTATAAATAATAATTCGACATAACCAGTTGTTAGAAAAGAAAATTAATTTTAAACAAATTATTATTTTTCGGCATAAAACTGACGTTTTCAAAAATGACATATCAACATAGTTAAAACCTGTATATCGTAATAAATTAACTAATATTTATCTGACCATAATTTAAAGATGGTACTTCAAGGTTATGTCAACTACCCGAATATTTCCAAGACTACCTCTATCTCTGTATAAGAATTTAAAGTTTATTTATAAATATACATTTCTGCGTTGTAATCTGTATCATCATAATAAATTATTTATCATTTAAGAGGATGTCAGTGCACTATTTGTTTTCTCTCTCTGACCCACGCGTAACATAGACAAAAATCATTTACGAAGAATAATTTTTTCTATGTCTTTAAGTAATTTTAGAGTAAAACCTTCCATTACAAAAAAGATAAAGAATAATATTTTTGAGGGAATGACATATCGATTTTATATTTTATAGATATTTGACTATGTATTCGACTTTCAAAATAAACAAAAAAATACTGTACATTTAAATAATGTTTAAATTATTTAGAGACAATATTTAGACAAATCGATATGTCATTCCCTCAAAAATATTATTTTCTATATTTTTTGTAATGGGAGGTTCTACTCTAAAATTACTTCAAGATATAGAAAAAATGATTCTGCATATATGTGTTTTGTCTATGTTACGAGTGAGCCAGAAAGAGAAAACAAATAGTGCGCCGACATCATGTTAATATTGTTTTTGATGTACAATAGTTTAGTATACAAGTAACTTTAGTAAATTGCCTTCAGACCAATAACTATTTATGTTAGCATAGGCGGATCCAGAGTTTTATATTTGAATGTGCCCGGCTCTTTTTTGTATTGTATTTATTTTTTTATATTACAGAGGGAATGAGGCTATAAACAAATCGCATCACATTAAATAATGAAATACAAATTACCAAAAGTATTATTATTTATTATTAGTATTTTTTATCGTTATTAGCGCGATGTCGATTTCCAAGAAAAGGCAATATTTTTTCGCTAAAAATAGTTACCACCGCTATTATACCGACCGTGGCGTTTTCGTATTGACGACAATAACATTGAGTAATATCATAAACGATAAACAAATACGCGTAGAACTGTTGAGTGTAGACACCAGTACCGTAACTAGCTTTATGTGCCCCTTGGCAAACAATGTTATTAATGAAATGTTATAATGAATTTTTAGTATTTATATGAAATAAAAATTGCACCCCTATCGCGATCATTTTAAACTGCGCCCTTGGCCACCGCCCACTTTGCCAATGCCTAGTTACGGCACTGGCAGACACTAGACAGTAGACAGTGTAGTGATTTAAATTATAAATATACTATATACATGCTTCATTAATAATGTAAAATAATAATATTATTGATAAAAAAATGCATGTAATTATTACTTTTATTAAATATTTCATTATTTAAGACTGATTCCGAACACTTTCAGTTTTACTTACAAAAAACAAAAATTAAAATAATGTGTATATATTATTATATTATTAATTATTATTATTTAATTTTTTCTCTTTATATTAAGGTGTGCCTTGGCACACCCGTAGATCCGCCTATGTATGTTAGTATTTCTCGTCAGTCGACAGTTATCCATAGAAATCGTCAGATATCATTTACCATACCGTCCATACCAATACCTATGCCTAGCCAAAAAATAAAGTTTTATTTGAGAGCATGCATTTTTTCAATTTTCCATCGTCGGAGAAGGAAAAAAATGTTAATGTTTAGGGAAATGTAACGTAAAAAAATCCCAAAAAAGGTAAAATATAATACAGTGAAACCTCCCTTAACGGACACCTCTAAATAGCGGACGTTTTTTCGAGGAAGGGAACATTTTCACTAATTATGTATAGGAAGACCTCTAAATACAGAACACTCTAAATAACGGACACTTTTATGACGTTGATATTAGTTATTTTTATCTTAAATTAAGAATTATTTTGGAATACCTGAATAAAAACCTGAGTTATTAAGTTATCTTATGTGTACATTATTATACTGTATATGAAAATCTTATCTTATCCGTTCAGTCATTGAAATATTATCGCGTCAACAAAGTATTATAACTAATGCATTGTCCTATGTGCGTTTAGTTGTGTTTGTGAACTACGCCTGCAATTAGTAAACAAACTAAAGTAATAGATTTTTTTTCAGAAATGTTAGTTTTTTTTTTTAAGCTGTATTTAATTAATGTAAAAATAAAATAAAAATTTAGGTAACTGTTTTTTTTTTCATAAATGTTAGTTTTATCGTGTATTCAATTAATGTAAAAATAATATAAAATAAAATTAATGAATTTATTTATTTGTTAAAAAAAATGTTTTCCTCTAAATAGCGGACAAAATTTCGGCGACCGAGAGTGCCTGCTATTCAGAGGTTTCACTGTATACGTTATTATATTTAGCTCGTGAAATCACGGATATCGTTTACGACTGCCGTGCGATTTACACAAATACATTGGTGAGTGTGAGGAGCGGCGCGTGGGTAGGCCGCGGTTCCTCCTCCGGTCTCCGACTTTTTCTTTAACGAATTAAGATAGTATCTTAATTCGTGCTATCTACTGATTTATATCAGCTAGCAGACTATTTTTTTTAATATACCACGACGGCACGACGTAGTAAGTGGTTGTAACTTATAAAAAATATAAAATAGTAATTAAACACAACAAATATTATAGACCAAGAAAATCATAATATATTCTTATTACATATTATACGGTATTATTTATACCAAACTAGTAAATAAAATACTTTTATAAGAAAAAAGTAAAAAACTACAACATGTATCTTAAAAAAAAAATTAAGACTGATATTACTATTTATTATTATACTGTTTTAAATCATTCTCATTATTATTAGGTATTTTTAATACCTTTAAATAGTATTTACTTTTATATTTGCATATTAAATCAAATAAATAGGTAGATCAATTTTAAAATAGTAGCTATTAGTTCCATTAGTACAAGAATCTTTGGGAATTGGTTCAGACCTTATAAATATGGCCCCTTTGCGAATAAAGTCTGCGCACGCTAATGTAATGAATATCATGGCATGGCTGGATGGCTGATATCACGAAATGACGAATATTAACTGATGTTAACAACAATTAAATTTATATGAAAATACAGTTATTGACTAGAGTAATATTACTTACGCGAAGTGACTGCAATGGCTATCGAAAATAAAACACGTGCATAATAAGTGGACTTGGGTTAGTGGTAAAGATTGATAAAAGTTTGTTTTCGAAAAGAAAAAAAATCAGGTAGTGGGCGTGTTTCCCGAACAGTGGATATTTTGAAGACTTTGTCACGGTACAAGAATCATTTTTTATCTAAGTTCCTGATAGAAAAACAGACTTTTTTACGACAATCAAGAATAACTTTCCGGAGTGTACCAAAAACGATTTATTCCGGTTGTTACCGTGCTTGTAACACTAAGTCACAAAGTTATTAATAAAATCATTCAGCTGCTAAAAAGTCAATCATAATTGATAATTGATATTACTTAATAAATTTATAATTTTGTGGACTCAACCGCAGGAACAAACACTCAAATAATTGAACGCCATTGGGGATCGGCAAAGAGGTGAAACAAAACACAGAGCAGAACTGCTCGTTAAAATATGTCAAACAATCTATTTTCAAAAATTCTTATAGGGATATTATGAAGTATTTTCCATCGCAAGAAAATCATTAACTTTGAATTTAAATCAATTTTAACTATTTAACTTTTGCTATACTATTCTTGTATATAATATGTATGTTTATAAAAAAAAATAGCGATAGTCGAGATTTACTATACACAAAACAAATATTAATTGTATTTTTTTTTATTCAATTTTACGATTTTAATTATTTAATTTTACAATAATCTATCTATACATATAAAATCCAAATACCACTCACCGCTGATCGCTGTAACTCAAAAACTATGCAACGTACGAACTTGAGATTTGGAGTAGAGGTTCTTCTCATATTTTCACAAAGGATTTTCAAAAATGTTGCGTTTTAGTGGAGTAATTAACAATTACCTATAATTATTTATCGTCAATACGTATTGTCCTGCACGGCACGGGCTCACGAGGGCACGTTGGGTTTCCAGCTACCAGCAACCTATCCTTTTTGTCCGAAGGTGAACAATAAGAATTGTTCCGAGAAGTTTATCGATAAAAATAATCTCTTGAATCGCGCGCACAACAATATAATATACCAATAGAATATTACATTATACTCGTATTATATATATATGTATAATAATCGTCGAACGATAAAATACACACCGATAACACAAGCCAACACTCATACAAAATATTAATAAAGAAGGCAAATATTGTTTATTTAATTGGTTTAATCCCTGGAACATTTAAATTGATTTTAAAATTTTTTTACCATCAGAAAGCTACAAAATCCCATGAATCTATAGGCTATATTATTATATCTTGATAAGTTGCCCTTAAATTTTTAATGCAAATTTGAAATTTTTTAAAGAAATAATAATAATATTAAATATATTTTTATACAATTTAGTATGGAAGAATAAGAAAAAAGCAATTTGTTATTAGGCAGCAATTTTAAAAATTGTTTCACTTATACAAAGCTAAAAACCCGATAAAATAATATTATTGAATATACTTTTAGTCCTGTATTTTGACTGTGTTAAAATTCTTTAGATTAAGATAGGGTAAATCCATGGGAAGTTTTGATCATGACTAGGCCTGGTATAAACGACGAATTAATCATATTATAGAGTCGGTATTTTTAACGGGCGACGAAGTGCACGGGTATCAGCTAGTTACATTATAAAAGCAATATATTTACCTGATTTTAAAAAGACTTTCGTGTATTATTTTTAATATTCAATAAATCGCGATAGTGGACCCGGAAGTATTACTTTTTATATTTATAATTTCTCAAGACATAATACACCAGTGGCATAGGTACAATATTATTATAATCCAACAAATCACAATMATWATAAGAGGTACTCACATACGGAAAGGTGTCGTAGACTTCGCGTTTGATTCGCCGGATTTCTTTGAATTTGAGTCTGCTGTCGAGCTGGTGATGGGTGCAAACACATTGGCCGTTCTGCCTCCGYGAGGCATTGTGCCGCCATCGCAAAAGGGTCAAGGCGTGTGTGCTAAATTCCGACGAAAGGGTTGGTATCGTCCCATAAGATCGCGTCGTCTGCGCCATTGCGTTCAGATACGTTTGCTATTCGACCGGTGTCAAATAACCAGCGAAAAATTATAAACRACACAAACAATATTGTTTAGAAAAAATAAAAATARACACGTTTTTAATGACAAAATATAATAATGTATCAAAGGTAGGTACCGTCGTACTGTACCTACACACCGAAATCGAATACTATCATTACTATGGCCAGGCGATCTACGACCTCTCCTATAATAATAATAGTTAAACGTGAATGACGCGCACCCGGCGACTGGCTGTCGATTTCGGGTTTCCCGAGGACCGAGAAGTGACCGTATCACCGCAGACGTCTACAACAATACTGTAGTCTTGTAAAGTTGTAATGCAAATTACTCAAATTGGTGGCAAACTGGCAAACTGTTTATTATGATATTGTCTGTGCCCGCCGCCGTAGTGGTGGGAATTATCGTTCCTTTTGTGGAATCGTTTCAATTGGCACAGACGCACAGTTACAATAAAAACTTTTTTATTTTTATTTTCACGGCCATTTTCTTCTTTCATTTTTTAAAAACATATCTATTAATTGTTCATATTAATGCTTCATTGAAACGTTGAAATATTCCACATTACAATAATTCATTTTACTGTTATATTTAATTAGCGGAATTATCACCATTTTTTTGATTTTTTTTTTTTTTTTTTTTTGACAAGATTCTTTATGTCGATTCCAGTTGGTGCTGTTCAGTGGATCACGTGTTCTACTTCTACCACAACTGGGACACAGAGAATTAATTTTTTTAATTTAAATGTTGTCGACAAGTAATGACAAATTGAGAACGTTAAACGTAAATAAATATCAAATACAATTTAAAAATGAATAATAATCTAGATTCTAGATTCTAGCCTCTAGGTTTCTGGTTGTTGCAATAATTTATTATAGCAATAATATAATAATTGTGCGGGCGGGGCTGCCAACACAAGTCGTTTCTGGGAAATGAGAAAGTGGCATGTGCGTCTGATAACGATTTGTTATATTTATAAACCATGTTTATGTTTTTATTAAGCCATGGTAATATTACAGAACAATTCTAATTGCATCCATATTGTTATAAATATACTTGGTGATACCTCAACTCGTGTGTAGTGTGTAGATGTGCTCATAAATTAGAAGCAGTACATTTTACAAATCTGCCTCCATCGACACCACCACCATCACTACCATCACCTCCAAAAATCAACGGAGCCGTGGCTCAAAAAAACTGCATCGCCACGCCACTGATAAAAAGTACCGATTCCAAAATACTCGTTACATCGGTACATTATTTATTTAGTTACACTAGTGTAATCTTATACTCGCATTCGTATTGTTCCGCGTAGGATGATCAAAATACATATATTTAAAAGTGTACTCGTTCTCGCAATGGATATTTATGATGAATATGCTTCGTTGCTCGTAAACCCATTATACAACAAATTATCCATGTTACCTATTATGGAAATAGTACTCCTAAGAGGTTCTTTAATATCGATATACCGTTGAAACATTATCATACGTGGATGAGTTCCGCCGTGTACAAACGTCTTGAATTAACTTTTTTTTTCGGGTACCCCATTTGTTTTTGTGCATTTTTAAGTTTTAAATTTGCTTTTGTACTTCGTTTAAAATACTCAACGATGGTTTTTACTCTTTATGAACGTTTTTTATTTCCCCTAGTCTGGATTGTGCAATTAGATTTAATGTGTGCACTGTGCAGTGTGCAAGTGTGCTTTAAACAGGGGACATGGCGCCAACGCCGATGATTTTATATTCGCAGCATTGTCACTCACAGCAACTTTTACTTTTTCTGTTATACTCTTTAGAACAATTATTTAAAAAGAATGACAAAATTTACAGCTGTGTGGAATTTTCCACTATGTTAAAACATCCAAGTAAATATGTTTTTAAAACACATTCTTCTGGATCTATAAAATGTACAGTGACAGCAATAAAACTATAATTATTTAGGAAAGTCCAGCCATCAGTTATAAATGAAATATATTTGGCATTCAATAAATTATTTCCAAGGCTGGGCAAGTTAACTAATTATTTTAACTCGTTAAGTTAAGTTAATACAGAAAAATGTAAGTTAAGTTTAAAGTTTAAAGTT